ACTGTGCAGACTGGTGAAAAAGTTGTAGATAAAAGTGAGGTCATCCTTTACGATCTCCTTACAAATATACAGACCATATAGGGTTGAGTGAATATAACACACATATGGACACTGCTGTATTTGATATGCAATAGATTTTGTAACAGTTGATAGGATAAATATTTATTTTATGTTCACTGTATTTACATTATTTATATTGTAAAGCGCTGAGCAAACTGTTGGCGCTATATAAATCCTGTATAATAATAATAATATAATAATTTACACCTCTTTTACTACTAGTACAAAATATACATGTTTATATATATATATATATGAGACATATCTGAATATATACAATACAAATATTTTTTTGTACTGTGCAATAACAATAAATTCCTACCTTAAAAGTGAGGTCATCAACCTGGCTAACCTGTCTGGCAGGGGTGGGTTCTTGGATCACAGGATGGCTTAACATACTCAAAAAACTAGGCAGCAATGCATATGTATTGTATTTCAACTGTGCACGTAATTGTTTCTTACAATTTTATTACATTAATTTGCTAATTAGGTATATATAAATCTCATTATGTTATTATTATATTAAAATCTCAAAGAAGCTTTACCATGTTATTGTAGATTCAAAATGTTTATATCTCCAACTTTCATTAAAATAATACCTGCGATCCTATAATCTTCCTACAATGTTACAAAGTTCTAGTGTACTTGCAATTTGTGCACTTTGAGTGTTTTTAATGAGGAAAGTTGCTATTTCTGCATCCTTTTAGAAGTGAGTGACTATCTTACTCCTTATTTTACCAAAAATTTAATTCTTATTGCAGGGGGAGAGCTAAAATTTTACTTGTATCTTAGTGCAAATGTTTGAGAAAATCAGTGAGCCAATCACACAAAACAGGAAATTACAATTCTGAGTTCGTCCCAGACACCAGAGGTGCACAAGTTGACATACTGAATTGAACGGTTTAGAATAGTGCAGTGACTTGAAATAGAAAGGTAACTTTTAATAATATTAAATTACAAAACAGCTTGTGTATTCATTTTATATGCTATATTAATTTGTTTTACAGAAGTTGGTTTCTCCTTTAAACAACCTGAATATACTTCAACTATTCACTTAACTTTAAAGATTTCCAAGTTTCTGTATTTTCTGAATTAACTTTTTTTCTTACTATGTATATACATTTTTGTATAAACATATTTAATACTACCATGACACAGTTGTCAGAAAACTATGACCTGTATTGCCTATGGAATTCTTCCTAAAGACAAGACTGTGCTTTCTAGACTTCCAGACATTTCAGAGGTCATGTAGTTTTATATAAGGCAGGCCATAGACGGGGCGAAAACTAGCCGACATTACCACCATTGGTAGAAAAAAATTTCGCTGATTTTCGGCCCGTCTACTACGGCCGGCCAATATAATAGCGGTGTCCCTGCAGAGAGCTCCGCTATTATATTTGACATTTAAAAGTATAGCAAAGATGCAACATTGTATCTATTTGTATCCAATTCGGATACAAATAGATACAATGTTGCAACCGCAATACTTCTAAATGTCACATATAATGGCAGAGTTCTCTGCAGGGACACTCTGTTATTATTTTTGACATTTAAAATTATTGCGGTTAAAACATTGTATCTATTTGTATTCGAATAGAAACATCTGTATCTGAAATGGATACAAATAGATACAGATGTACTTCTTTTTCTTTCTCTTCATCTTCTTCTTCTTTTTCTTCTTTTCCTTCTTCCTGCAGGTCATGGCTCATGCACATTTTTTTTAATCGGTAAAAAGATCGGCCGATTTGCCAATCATTGCTGTAAAAATCGGCCAATCGACAAAATCGGACATTTTTTTTCCAACATGATTGATTAAAAAAATGTGCCAAAATCACGATAAATGGCCGACAAATTCACCTACTAATGATCCGAAAATCAGCCGATTATTCTTTTGGACAAATTTTCGGCCAATTTTCGACCCATCTATGGCTTGCCTAAGTTTGTTTTTCTAATGACTTCTTTATCTACAACTACCATATAACCCGTTACACCAACTTGTAAGCACTAAAACTAACACACTCACAACAAAATTGCTTTTGCTTTGTAAAACTAGAAAAAACACACAAAGAAATATGCTGGAAGTAACTTCCAATGTATCTCATTGCTAAAACCATTGTGTTTATTTGTATTTTTAAAATCAGTTAGAGCCTAATAGCAAGTGTTTGCTGTTTATAATGAATTTAGGTACTTTATTTAAATACTTTTGTACAAATGATGAATTTTATTATGACTTGGACCAATATAGGAGTTCATATGTTCACAACTATTTTTAAATCTGTTTTATAGCCATAACAAAGGGGGGGATCTCCAGGCCCCTATAAATCCTTGGCATGTTATGTTTTCTTGTTATGGAATACAGCCAATAATAAAATATCTTGGACTCAGACTTTTGGTATGTAAAGCTCTGGGTCCTTTTTAGAGGAGTACCTTGTTTTTATTGAGCTCAGCCTCTCTGTATGAATCTGACTTACCTTCTTCAATCATGAACTGCAGATTGGTGGAAACCAGTGCCTCATTTATACTTTTTATGAACCTAGCAGTAACTGCTTTCTATGCTAGCCCTGTTGCTATAACACTGAGACTAAATATTACATAATACAATATATCCTTTATTAAAGAAAAAACATGTTTACTTGGAGAATGTAATTTAATTAAATATTAACTTGATCTTCTGCTGCTGAGCTGTCAACTCCCTGTTATAGCCTACCAAGCCCCTGGTATCCCCACCGTACTCCTTCTCCTTCCTAGAACCCCTCCTCCTTGCTATCCTTCCCTTTCCTCTTTTCCTTTTCCATGTTTCTTTCTACTGTTATTACTTGTTTGATACAATGGGGTAGATTTACTAAAACTGGTGCCCTCAGAATCTGGTACAGCTGTCCATTGTAGCCAATCAGCTTCTAACTGCAGCTTGCTCATTTAAGCTTTGGCAATAAAACTCGGAAGCTGATTGGTTTTTATGCAGAGATGCATCCGATATTTTACTCTCCAGTTTTAGTAAATAACCCCCCTGTTGATCATCTCTGACCGACGTCAATGCATGCTCTGGCTTATCATACTTGACCTTTTCAAGTTATAGAATCCGCTCTTCGTTGCTTAGGTCAGTTGCAAATGCCACTATGCTTAGGCTTGCTTTTGATAATTTCCATAATGGTTTGTATACATTAGCACTGTAATGAGAACTTTTTTGGGGTGTGCTGTGTGTACCTTGCTAAGCTCCATGAACCTATAATTATTGTGTTAGAGTTTTGGCTCTTGTAAAATGCTTGAAACCCAATAAAAACATTGAACAAAAAATAAATACTGTAAATAAATACCTTGAAGGTGTTGATTTACTTATGGCAAAGAGGCTGTTAACTTTGCAAGAGAATTTTTATTTTGCAAGAGAGTTTTCTCTTAGCTTAGTGAATGAAATAAAGCTCTGCTGAATCTAAATTCTGTAATAACTGGTAAGCAATATTTATAGAGAAACAGGTTTCCTGCATACTTCAAAGACTGTGTAGGGTTAGAAATTTAAACTTTCATGAATTTTTCTCTTCCTACCTTTTTGTACGCAATCCAGTCAAACACTCGATCTATATCTGTAGCCTTTAGCACCTCTTGAGAAACTGGGTGTGAACTGGCCAAGCCATCCAGCAGCATCACCTCATGTAAGACGTCTGTAAGAAACCGTTGCTTTTCCTGAAAAAGTTAAACATTACATTCACTTTAGCACTGAAAATACACAATTCTATTTTTTCTCTGTAAGAAGCTCCAGGTAGCATTCCTTCTGAACACATTTACTACTCAAAGTGTATTTTATGCCTACTTTTTGTCATTTTTTAATTTTTCAGTAGAGTAGGGAATGTTTAAAATACCAGTTTTTCCTTCATTATTTCTGTTCCACTGGGAATATCTTCCTTTGTTTCATGCCACAGGGGCAAAACAGGAAACGAGAGGGATTTTCCCCAAAGTTAACTTGAACATGTGCGCCTCATTTTGCGTCAGCTTTAAAATGTTGAATTTTGCCACAATGACAATGGTCTCCAAGACAAATAGAGAGAGTGAATCTCTCCAGTGGAGATACAATAAATGAATACTAACAAAGGTTCTCCCCATTCCTGATAGATAGATAGATAGATAGATAGATAGATAGATAGATAGATAGATAGTCATTTTCATTTGCATTGCACATTCACATTATGTTGAAAATATTTATGAACATATTTTGTGTAGGGAACTGTTATTTTATACACTAGTTGTGGTTTGTTTACATCCATATACAGCCACTACCATAGAGGTCCCATTACAGACAAGTCCCTAGGTGTGCTTCCTGCCCCTACAAGGAGGTCAAGAAACCCCAGGATGTTATATAGTTTTGTTTTCCAGGAAGTATCAGGCAGAGGGTGCCAACCTGCCATGTGCTGTGTATCTGGGGGGAACTGTATGGTGATTCTGTGAGTAATGATCCAGATTAACAAGGCTGCTATCTATGTAGTTGTTACCGAAGCACACCTAGGGACTTGTCTGTAATGGGACCTCTATGGTAGTGGCTGTATATGGATGTAAACAAACCACAACTAGTGTATAAAATAACAGTTCCCTAGATTCATATACAAATCATAAACAAAAAAATCAGGTTAACCGGGAAAATTGGGGATGGTGTAGCTGTTTATCAAAGTTGTTTGGTAAATTTGAAGTTTAAAAATGAAGCAGCAATGCCCATATATCGTCCTATAACATACTCTTCTGTTTTTCTTATTTTACAACCCTCACATCCAGTGGTTTATTTTGGTTTTGTGCTGCCCTAGGCAAGACTAAAATCTATATTTGTACCACTCCTTCCTGTTTAAGATCCTCCCATCCATCTTTTAACTCCGCCCTTCCTCTTTAGGCTCTACCTCTTCCTATTAGAGCTCCACCTCTTATTTTATTCCATAATTGGTGTCATTTGGAGGAATAGTGCCCCATCATTGGTGTCCGTTGGGAGAAATAGTGCCCCATCATTGGTGTCAGTGGGAGGAATAGTGCCCTATCAATGGGGTCAGTGGGAGGAATAGTTTTCCATCATTAGGGTCAGTTAGTGCCCCATCATTGGTGTCAGTGGGAGGAATAGTGCCCCATCATTGGTGTCAGTGGGAGGAATAGTGCCCCATCATTGGTGTCTGTGGGAGGAATATGTGCCCCATCATTGGTGTCAGTGTGGGAGGAATAGTGCCCCATCATTGGTGTCAGTGTGGGAGCAATAGTTGCCCCTTCATTGGTGTCAGTGGGAGGAAGAGTGCCCCATCATTGGTGGACTCAGTGGGAGGAAGAGTGCCCCATCATTGGACTCAGTGGGAGGAAAAGTGCCCCATCATTGGTCCAGTGGGAGGAAAAGTGCCCCATCATTATTGTCCGTCAGTGGGAGGAATAGTGCCCCATCATTGGTGTCAGTGGGAGGAATAGTGCCCCATCATTGGTGTCAGTGGGAGGAATAGTGCCCCATCATTTGTGTGTCAGTGGGAGGAATAGTGCCCCATCATTGGTGTCAGTGTGAGGAGGAACAGTGCCCCATCATTGGTGTCAGTGGGAGGAATAGTGCCCCATCATTGGTGTCAGTGGGAGGAAAAGTGCCCCATCATTGGTGTCAGTGGGAGGAACAGTGTCCCATCATTGGAGCCAGTGGGAGGAACAATGTCCCATCATTGGTGTCATTGGAGAAATAGTGCCCCATCATTGGTGTCAGTGGGAGGAATAGTGCCCCATCATTGGTGTCAGTAAGAGGAACAGTGTCCCATCATTGGAGTCAGTGGGAGGAATAATGTCCCATCATTGGTGTCAGTGGTAGAAACAGTGCCCCATCATTGGTGTCAGTCACCGGACTGGGCAACCTCTCGACCCCTCCTCCAGCAGTGCCTCGTGGACTGGATCGAAGTGGGTCATGGAGTCACGGACACAGGTAAGACACAGCAGCCCCTATCCTAAGTGTCCCTTCCATTGGAAAGGGGGAGGGCAGTGCTGCCCTGCCTCGCGGCACCCCTGCCCCCTGAAAAGTACACCCTGCCTCGCTGACTGCAAAAACAGAAGGTGGGAGTCACAGCTCTACTTCAACTATACTCAGATAAAACCTTAAAATCCAACTTCATTTAGAATTTTACTTAGATCAAAAATGGTTCTATTAATTTTTGCAACTGCACCACATACTCCCCTGGGGAGGAATGTCAGTGCTGACGTCATGCCGCTGTAAGATCACGGGTAGTCAGCAGCTTTCTCATTGAGTTTCTACTGTGTTTTTTTTTTGCTTTCACTTTGTTTTAAAGGGATGCCTGACTCTGTTCTACAATAAGCCTTTATTTAACCACTTGTTGACCAGGTTATAGCTGAATGATGGCTACCTCATGGTCGTCCAGTTATAGGAGTTTACAGTTTACATACAGGTCTCTCGGTAATACTCGGAGATTGCCGGGTGCCGGCAGGGAATCACCAGCCAGGACCTGATGATTGACAGATGAGGCCCCCTACCTGTAAATGCAAATTCATGTATATATACATGATTTTTCACACCCGTGCCATCCTGTAGCAGTATTTCTGCTATAGGGTGGCGCGGAAGTGGGTACATTCTCAGGGCAAGCAAGAACAACTGTATAGCAAATTTAAAACATATCAGTGCATCAATACAATGCAAATAGAAAGTTCCAAAACTATAGACACAATATATCAAAATTCTTCCACCACAGTGAGAACTTCATTCATTAATTTTTCCTTCTGGTAAACGGTTTTTCTTTTTTTTCACCCAACACACATGTACACCTCAAAACCATAAAACAATCAGTGTTGTGAGCTGCTACGTGAACAACAATAACAACTGCCCCTGTAAAAAATTCAAAAAGCTGCCAAGCACTAAATGCAAATCTCACATACCTCTGCAATGACAAAAAATGTTTACATCAATGTGCAGAGCTATAAAGTGTAATCATTAATACTGTATGTCCAAACCAAAAATAAAGAAATAATTAAATATTGTTATCTTAATGCATAAAATAAATTAAATACCCATATATTTTAAATATTGTGAACTGAAAGTAGTAAAAACTTTCTATGCAGAAGGATCGAGCACAAAAGGTGGCACGGTTCACTAGAAGGATTGAATTGGTGTTTATCAATGACTGTATTTTCATAATCACAGCACTTTCATATGAGGAATTTAGATTTTATTATATGAAATCAGTACATGATTTTATTTTACTGTGTGTTTTTATTTCATTATGATTTAGCAATTTTTTTTAGTTCAGAATATATGAAATATATGGGTATTTATTTGTTTTATGCATTAATATAACACTATTTAATTGTTTATTTTTGGTTTGGACATATTATTAATTACACTTTATAGCGCTGCACATTGATTTAAACACATGTACACTTCCACCCACTCACTCACCCTTCTCCTTTGGCTCTCACTTTCAAGATAGGCAATTGCACTTTTCATTGTCAAATCTAGTTGTTTCCTAGTTTGATAGGTTAATTTCCAGCAACATGTGATCACCTAAGACAGGTTCCTCCAATATCACATAGCCACCATATATCAAGAAAGCAGAAAAGGATTGCACATAGTCTAAAACTGTTTATCAAATTTGAAATGCGCTCATATAACATTAATACACGTTAGCATTATAAGTGCAGAGTATTGAGCTGATCCTCAGCATGGAGTAGGGGATCAAGCAAACACAGAGGCAAGCTGAAAGGCACTGATGGTAAGGGGAATTTGACCTCCTTGATGGGAATGCTGTTTCTTATAGTTTCTATGTGTACTTTGTAAGTGCTTTTTTATCTTTCCTATTCAATTTGTTTAACTGTTGCTGGAATTTAACCTACCAAACTAAAAAAAAAACGACAGGTTTGCAGGAACATGCTAAACAAACTAGGAAGATCCTGTTCTTATTTAAGTAGGTGGATTATCCAGAAAGAAGATGAAAATAGGACAGGTTAAAAAGGTGGTAGTAGACATAATACAAAATGGAGAGGAGTGCGGTTAAAATGTATAGATTACAGTAGTCTCACATTGCACAGAGGGTGTATTGACCAAGGGTGCCATGCAATGCCATCCAAACTTTAAGTCTATTTAGGATTTTAATATGAAAAGGTCATATTTATCTCCTTTAAAAAAGAATAGACTTGTGAACACTAAATAATGATTTATGGATACATACTTCTGAGCAGTAGACTTTAAATCATATACAGAATGAAAATCATATAATTTATAATTAATACAGGCTTGTGTGGAAAAAAAAAAAACAAGAATCTAACCTAATTTGTCCTTGTTGAACTTAAGTCCTCAAGCACACTGGACGTTTTTACAGCTGATGTTTTTGGCTTTTGACGTTTATTCTACAGCCAGTAAACTCCCCAGCACTTTTTCCTATGTGTTCATGCACACATAGACTGTAATCAACATTTTTTGGCAGGGGCGTTTTTTGGCTGGAAAAAACCTCCAGAACTAGTCAGTTTCTAGAGGAGCTTTTTAGCTGTAAAAACGCTCTAATGCTGAAAAATGCACGAAAATGATGTAAATCACAGTAAATCGTGGCAAACCAGTGTTTTTGGATGTTTTTTTGACAAACCAATTTTTGGGGGGATAAAAAAAAAAAACACTAAAAAAACAAACACGATCAAATTCCGCTAAACGGTAATACAAAAACACTAAAAAATGCCCAAAAACCGTAACGTGACTTTACACAGCTAGTGTTACAAGCATTATTAACACTAGAGATGAGCGAAGTATTCAAAAATTCGATTCGGCTGATTCGGCGAATTCGTGGAATAAATTTGATTCGAGTCGAAAATATTCGCTGCGAATTTAACTTATAAAAAGGGTGTTTCTAGGCTTCAGAGAGCCTTTATATTAGTGCAGAACACTGTACCTTTAATTTAAATGCCCTTGGAGTCTGCTGGGGAAGAGAAATAATACTGTCAGTCAGTATGACATGCAGATGAGTGCCGTCGATCTTAGAATCACCGCACACTTCACTCATTTGGGCAGTCACGGGGCCAAAACCAGAGTGTGGAGCCACAGTGTGGCGGTGGAGGCAGCAGCAATGGGAGGCCATACAGCACCCTATGACAAAATGGAACCCACCAGCAGTGTGAGGAGACCTGAAAGTGGCACATGGCAGAGTGTGGCGATGGAGACAGCAGCAATGGGAGGCCGTACAGGGACCCATGACACACTCTGGACCTGGCAGCAGCATGAGGAGGCGGTACGGGGGCCCATGGCAGATTACGGGCCTGGCAGCAGCAATGGGAGGCCCGTAATCTGCCAGCACCCTATGACAAAATGGAACCCACCAGCAGTGTGAGGAGACCTGAAATTGGCACATGGCACAGTGTGGCGATGGAGACAGCAGCAATGGGAGGCCGTACAGGGACCCATGAGACACTCTGGACCTGGCAGCAGCATGAGGAGGCGGTACCGGGGCCCATGGCAGATTACGGGCCTGGCAGCAGCAATGGGAGGCCCGTAATCTGCCAGCACCCTATGACAAAATGGAACCCACCAGCAGTGTGAGGAGACCTGAAAGTGGCACATGGCACAGTGTGTGGCGATGGAGACAGCAGCAATGGGAGGCCATACAGGGACCCATGAGACACTCTGGACCTGGCAGGCATGAGGAGGCGGTACAGGGGCCCATGACAGATTACGGGCCTGGCAGCAGCATGAGGAGGTACGGGGACCCATGGCAGATTACGGGCCTGGCAGCAGCAATGGGAGGCCCGTAATCTGCCAGCACCCTATGACAAAATGGAACCCACCAGCAGTGTGAGGAGACCTGAAAGTGGCACATGGCAGAGTGTGGCGATGGAGACAGCAGCAATGGGAGGCCGTACAGGGACCCATGAGACACTCTGGACCTGGCAGCAGCATGAGGAGGCGGGTACGGGGGCCCATGGCAGATTACGGGCCTGGCAGCAGCAATGGGAGGCCCGTAATCTGCCAGCACCCTATGACAAAATGGAACCCACCAGCAGTGTGAGGAGACCTGAAAGTGGCACATGGCAGAGTGTGGCGATGGAGACAGCAGCAATGGGAGGCCGTACAGGGACCCATGAGACACTCTGGACCCTGGCAGCAGCATGAGGAGGCGGTACGGGGGCCCATGGCAGATTACGGGCCTGGCAGCAGCAATGGGAGGCCCGTAATCTGCCAGCACCCTATGACAAAATGGAACCCACCAGCAGTGTGAGGAGACCTGAAAGTGGCACATGGCAGAGTGTGGCGATGGAGACAGCAGCAATGGGAGGCCGTACAGGGACCCATGAGACACTCTGGACCTGGCAGCAGCATGAGGAGGCGGTACGGGGGCCCATGGCAGATTATGGGAAGAGTAAGCAGCAATGGGAAGGCCCGTAATCTGCCAGCACCCTATGACAAAATGGAACCCACCAGCAGTGTGAGGAGACCTGAAAGTGGCACATGGCACAGTGTGGCGATGGAGACAGCAGCAATGGGAGGCCGTACAGGGACCCATGAGACACTCTGTGACCTGGCAGCAGCATGAGGAGGACGGTACCGGGGCCCATGGCAGATTACGGGCCTGGCAGCAGCAATGGGAGGCCCGTAATCTGCCAGCACCCTATGACAAAATGGAAGTCACATAGGCCCTGGGGAAGTCACATGATATTGTGACGCAACGCGTCGGCGGGACGTGGTGACGTATTTCCGGCGTGGCGGCCATCTTGGTACACCTGTTTGCAGAGTTGTACACCCATACATACATGCCCCTATCCGAAAGCATGGGGCATTGAATTGGCTGCCACGTGAGTTATAGACTTTTTATATGGTTACATGCTATTTGTCCCTATGTGAAAATAAAAATATACAGGGCACTATGGGAGGATCTATTTTATTTTCTCATTTGAGAGATTGATGCTGCAAATTCCCTGGAGAGGAGCCATTGCTGGGATATTAAATCATACTGAGAGTTTTGGGTGCAACAAGGAGCAGCATTTGGAGTGATAGCTATCTTGGAGGATCTGTGAGGGGGATCCACAAAAGCGCTTTGATCCGCAAGGGTCGAAGTGATGAGGTGAGAGGCTAATCCAGATGGTGGTCGGATTGTCAGAATTCACATTCACCCAAAGATTCGCATGATTTTTTTATGGTCACCAATTGTAGTAATTGGAAAACGTGTTTGATTTTTATTTTTTTTATATCACTACTAATATTTATCGGACTTTGTGAGCATGTTGGATGTATAAGTTGTAGTGGGGTGTTTCCACTACATGAGAGGCACGTGTGATTTTACATGCACGGTATAATATATATATATTTATGTATAGATTTAAATGCAGTTATTTTTTTACTTTTTTCATTTTATGAAATTTATCACTTTATAGATTTAATGAAATCATGGGCACCAAAAATAATATGAATTGATATCACCTTCAGTTGCCCCCACATTTTTCATTATTTATTTTAAATTGATGCAATTTTGTGATTACACAGGCAATATGGAGGCCCTTATTGTTATTTATGTTTGTATTTATATATATTAAGGAGTAGCGCTACATTCTTTATTGTATTTATGCAGACTGAGGCAGCCGCTGCTGGTGGAGCTGCCACTGCTCCTACCACCCCACCCCTCCCCTGCTGCCATGGCAGCGGAACGCGAGCGCACAGGGCCCACAGTGGTGTTGAGGATGGACGTTGGAGGCACAAACGCAGAGACCAACTGACTACATAGCAGGTTCGGTGATGTACGTTATTTTGGCCTCCCTCTCAGCAGGTGTGAAAAAGGCCACCATTTTTGAACGGTAGCGAGGGTCCAACAAGGTGGACAGCCCAAAAGTCATCCCTCTGTCTGATGGTTATTATTCGGCTGTCGCTACGCAAGCAACCGAGCATGCTATGGGCCATTTGTGCCAAGGAATGCGAGGGACTCCCCTGCCTCCATCTCCACAGCATACTGCCACGGTGCGTCTGGGTCCTCTGTCTCCTCCTCCTCCTCCTCTACCAGATGGGACCCATGCTCCTCCACTCCTGTCCGCTGAGTGGAAAAACCACCCATTTCACTCAGATAATTCCTGAGCACCAATGTCCTCCTCGTACCTCCTCCCTTCTTCCTGTGGCCCCCACAGGGGTCATGTGAGGAGTTGAGATCTGTGCGCCACGTCTACCGCACCCTGACCAGCCATTGTTAACAGCATTTGGTGAGGACGTGCAACAGAGGAATGACGGAGGCCATAGTCCTGCCGACTCACGAATAGCGTGGCCCCTGACAGATTACGGGCCTGCAGCAGCATTGAGGAAGCGGCAGGGCCCGCAGAGCTACCGGGCCAATGGCTGCATCAATGGGAGGCCCGTAACAGGGCCAGCACCCTTTATCCAAAATGGAACCCACCAGCAGTGTGAAGACGGTGAAAGTGGCACTTTCGCAGAGTGTGGTAATGGTCTACACATATGGTAGGGGTTGAACCCCTGACAGTTACGGGCAACTGGCAGCAGCATGAGGAGTCGGTACGGGGGCCCATGGCAGATTACGGGCCTGGCAGCAGCAATGGGAGGCCCGTAATCTGCCAGCACACTATGACAAAATGGAACCCACCAGCAGTGTGAGGAGACCTGAAAGTGGCACATGGCAGAGTGTGGCGATGGAGACAGCAGCAATGGGAGGCCGTACAGGAACCCATGACAGATTACGGGCTGGGCAGCAGCATGAGGAGGCGGGCCCCTGACAGGGGCCCATGACAGATTACGGGCCTGGCAGCAGCAGCATGAGGAGGCGGTACAGGGGCCCATGGCAGATTACGGGCCTGGCAGCAGCAATAGGAGGCCCGTAATCTGCCAGCACCCTATGACAAAATGGAACCCACCAGCAGTGTGAGGAGACCTGAAAGTGGCACATGGCAGAGTGTGGCGATGGAGACAGCAGCAATGGGAGGCCGTACAGGAACCCATGACAGATTACGGGCCTGGCAGCAGCATGAGGAGGCGGTACAGGGCCCATGGCAGATTACGGGCCTGGCAGCAGCAATGGGAGGCCCGTAATCTGCCAGCACCCTATGACAAAATGGAACCCACCAGCAGTGTGAGGAGACCTGAAAGTGGCACATGGCAGAGTGTGGCGATGGAGACAGCAGCAATGGGAGGCCGTACAGGGACCCATGACAGATTACGGGCCTGGCAGCAGCATGAGGAGGCGGGTACAGGGGCCCATGACAGATTACGGGCCTGGCAGCAGCAATGGGAGGCCCGTAATCTGCCAGCACCCTATGACAAAATGGAACCCACCAGCAGTGTGAGGAGACCAGAAAGTGGCACATGGCAGAGTGTGGCGATGGAGACAGCAGCAGCAATGGGAGGCCGTACAGGGACCCATGACACACTCTGGACCTGGCAGCAGCATGAGGAGGCGGTACGGGGGGCCCATGGCAGATTACGGGCCTGGCAGCAGCAATGGGAGGCCCGTAATCTGCCAGCACCCTATGACAAAATGGAACCCACCAGCAGTGTGAGGAGACCTGGAAAGTGGCACATGGCAGAGTGTGGCGATGGAGACAGCAGCAATGGGAGGCCGTACAGGGGCCCATGACAGATTACGGGCCTGGCAGCAGCATGAGGAGTCGGTACAGGGGCCCATGGCAGATTACGGGCCTGGCAGCAGCAGCAATGGGAGGCCCATAATCTGCCAGCACCCTATGACAAAATGGAACCCACCAGCAGTGTGAGGAGACCTGAAAGTGGCACATGGCAGAGAGTGTGGCGATGGAGACAGCAGCAATGGGAGGCCGTACAGGGACCCATGAGACAGATTCTGGACCTGGCAGCAGCATGAGGAGGCAGGGTACGGGGGCCCATGGCAGATTACGGGCCTGGTAGCAGCAATGGGAGGGCCCGTAATCTGCCAGCACCCTATGACAAAATGGAACCCACCAGCAGTGTGAGGAGACCTGAAAGTGGCACATGGCAGAGTGTGGCGATGGAGACAGCAGCAATGGGAGGCCGTACAGGGACCCATGACACACTCTGGACCTGGCAGCAGCATGAGGAGGCGGTACGGGGGCCCATGGCAGATTACGGGCCTGGCAGCAGCAATGGGAGGCCCGTAATCTGCCAGCACCCTATGACAAAATGGAACCCACCAGCAGTGTGAGGAGACCTGAAAGTGGCACATGGCAGAGTGTGGCGATGGAGACAGCAGCAATGGGAGGCCGTACAGGGACCCATGAGACACTCTGGACCTGGCAGCAGCATGAGGAGGCGGTACAGGGGCCCATGACAGATTACGGGCCTGGCAGCAGCATGAGGAGTCGGTACGGGGGCCCATTACAGATTACGGGCCTGGCAGCAGCAATGGGAGGCCCATAATCTGCCAGCACCCTATGACAAAATGGAACCCCCCAGCTGTGTGAGGAGACCTGAAAGTGGCACATGGCAGAGTGTGGCGATGGAGACAGCAGCAATGGGAGGCCGTACAGGGACCCATGAGACACTCTGGACCTGGCAGCAGCATGAGGAGGAGGCGGTACAGGGGCCCATGACAGATTACGGACCTGGCAGCAGCATGAGGAGGCGGTACGGGGGCCCATGGCAGATTACAGGCCTGGCAGATGACGACGAGGCTGCCAAGTGCGATCAGCTCTCATCATCATCAATTAGGGTCTCCGCCTCACTACTAGCCCCCTCGGCCTGCGTGTGGGTCAGGAGACAGACCTGTCTCTAGACCGGCTACCGAGCCACTCTCCTCACCACTACTTCTTCGCCTGGCTGCTGAAGAGGCGGATGTCTCCCCCCGTTCCTGACCGCCCTCTGTTAGCTCTTCCTCAATGTACAGTGGGGCTGAGCCCACAGCATGCGATACTTCGCTTGGTGAGGGAACACCAAAGGACAGGGGCAGGTAGAGGACATGTGATTTCAGTGGGCTTGCTCCCGGGCCATGCCAACTAATGGTTGTGTCTGACGTACCCACCGACCGTTGGCTGTAGGTGTCAGAGGTGACCTGGGAAGAGGAAGACGACCGAGCCAACCAATCGATGACGGCAGGGTTGTCGGTGGAGACACGACCGCTGGATGACACCGGGGAGCACTGGCCTCTGGCTGCGACTAGTGCTGCCTCGACCCCTTCCTCTGCTGCCACGTCTGCTCGCTCCTGAAACATTGCCTCCTCTGCCACTCCTCTGCGTGTTGTCTGACATACTCTTTAATTCAACGATTCTGTGTCCCTGAGTAACAATTCTGTGTCCCTGAGTAACAATTCTGTGTCCCTCAGTAACGATTCTGTGTCCCTCAGTAACAATTCTGTGTCCCTCAGTAACAATTCTGTGTCCCTGAGTAACAATTCTGTGTCCCTGAGTAACGATTCTGTGTCCCTCAGTAACGATTCTGTGTCCCTGAGTAACAATTCTGTGTTCCTGAGTAACAATTCTGTGTCTGTCCCTGAGTAACAATTCTGTGTTGTCCCTGAGTAACAATTCTGTGTCCCTCAGTAACAATTCTGTGTCCCCGAGTAACAATTCTGTGTCCCTGAGTAACAATTCTGTGTCTGTCCCTGAGTAACAATTCTGTGTCCCTGAGTAACAATTCTGTGTCCCTGAGTAACAATTCTGTGTCTGTCCCTGAGTAACAATTCTGTGTCTGTCCCTGAGTAACAATTCTGTGTCCCCTGAGTAACAATTCTGTGTCCCTGAGTAACAATTCTGTGTACCTGAGTAACAATTCTGTGTCTGTCCCTGAGTAACAATTCTGTGTCCCTGAGTAACAATTCTGTGTCCCTCAGTAACAATTCTCTGTCCCTGAGTAACAATTCTGTGTCCCTGAGTAACAATTCTGTGTCCCTCAGTAACGATTCTGTGTCCCTGAGTAACGATTCTGTGTCCCTGAGTAACAATTCTGTGTCTGTCCCTGAGTAACAATTCTGTGTCCCTGAGTAACAATTCTGTGTCCCTGAGTAATAATTATGTGTCCCTCAGTAACAATTCTGTGTCCCTGAGTAACAATTCTGTGTCCCTGAGTAACAATTCTGTGTCTGTCCCTGAGAGTAACAATTCTGTGTCTGTCCCTGAGTAACAATTCTGTGTCCCTCAGTAACAATTCTGTGTCCCTGAGTAACAATTCTGTGTCCCTGAGTAACAATTCTGTGTCTGTCCCTGAGTAACAATTCTGTGTCCCTGAGTAACAATTCTGTGTCCCTGAGTAACAATTCTGTGTCCCTCAGTAACAATCCTGTGTCCCTCAGTAACAATTCTGTGTCTGTCCCTGAGTAACAATTCTATGTCCCTGAGTAACAATTCTGTGTCCCTCAGTAACAATTCTGTGTCTGTCCCTGAGTAACAATTCTGTGTCCCTGAGTAACAATTCTGTGTCCCTGAGTAACAATTCTGTGTCCCTCAGTAACAATTCTGTGTCCCTCAGTAACAATTCTGTGTCTGTCCCTGAGTAACAATTCTGTGTCCCTCAGTAACAATTCTGTGTCCCTCAGTAACAATTCTGTGTCCCTCAGTAACAATTATGTGTCCCTCAGTAACAATTCTGTGTCTGTCCCTGAGTAACAATTCTGTGTCCCTGAGTAACAATTCTGTGTCCCTCAGTAACAATTCTGTCTGTCCCTCAGTAACAATTCTGTGTCCCTCAGTAACAATTCTGTGTCTGTCCCCGAGTAACAATTCTGTGTCCCCTGAGTAACAATTCTGTGTCCCTGAGTAACAATTCTGTGTCCCTCAGTAACAATTCTGTGTCCCTCAGTAACAATTCTGTGTCTGTCCCCGAGTAACAATTCTGTGTCCCTGATTAACAATTCTGTGTCCCTGAGTAACGATTCTGTGTCCCTAAGTAACGATTCTGTGTCCCTAAGTAACGATTCTGTGGCCCTAAAGTCTCTCTGGTCCTAACTCTGTCCCTAATACAGACAGGTCTGTCTCTCTTGAATGACCGCAGGCTAATGGAGAATTGTAAGATGGCCGCAATTTATAGCTCCACCATTACGCAGTGCTGGCTGGCTGGCTGCTGATTGGCTAATGCGATCACGACATGAATGAATGCATTATGGGTCAGCGCGCCTTGTCTGCGCGCCTTCCCAGAGATCCCCGCTCCGTCGCCACACATGTCGCCGCCATTTTTGGGAAAATTTGATTCTTGCATCCGAAGTTGGCTAATTTTCGGATTCGGCGCGAATCGAATATTTCCCAATATTCGAAACGAATTCCACTTCGCCATGTTCGATTCGCTCATCTCTAATTAACACGTCCAGTGTGCATGGAGCCTAATGATTAAGAGTGTTGGGAAAACATGAAATTAAAATAAAAAAGCTGCCTTCTACTCGACAGAATATAAAAGCCATAAAAATGGCAATTATATAATGGAGAATTATGTTTTCCTGTGTCTCCAAATGAGTGGGTACATATACTGTACTAATAACTGTTCGGTGTCAAGGGCCATGTAGAAAGACTTTTATATTTTACAAATCATCCACTTAAAGTGGATCTTTAGTTAGAAAATTCAGTCCTGCTAGATCACTTCAGGTTGGCCCCTTTGCATGTATAGCTATGTAAAACATTAAAAATAAGTGCCAATACTGTTTAAAATTCAGTAATACACTATCTCACTCAGCTCTGCACATGCTCAGTTGCTCTCCATTTTTAGGCACTGTGCCTGAACTTGCAGAAGCCAGTCTGCTGACAACCTAAACATTAAAACCTGCTAAGGGTTTTAGCAACATGGCAGCCTCCAGCAAAACAGGAACAATGCTGGAACAATTTACAGCACACACTAATTTTGGTAGCATAATTATCAATGTAGAAATGTATGTTTTTTTGCTAAATAACATTATTATTTATCAACTTGCTATGGGTAAAGTTCCACTTTAATCTGAAATATCCAAGATTTACTTTTCTTCCTCAACAGTTGTGCAATATGCTTATGGATGTTGAACTTCTTAAAGAAGCAAAGATAATTTATATTGAAGGAAGAAATTATTTATCTATCATTTGGATGGAGAATTTCCCAAGATAGAAAAAAAAAATATGGTGATTTAAATGTTTCTTGTTGGGATGAAGTAGTTAAAATGTTTACAGATAAATCTACTTCCTTTAACAGTGAATATTATCTGACACACTGAATTTTGTGCTTGCTTATATTAATGCATTTTGTGATCAGTGTTATTTTTTAACTTTATTGGAAAATCAAAAGAATGGTCAGAGACATTTCTTATTTAGATAATAAAATTACAATTAGAGAAATGTGTTAGATAAATGAACTTTTCCATATTGTGCATTGAGGGAGAATTGTAAGTGGATATATATATATTATTTTATATTAAATAATTCAAGTCTGAGACACTGTATATAACTTTGAATGAAATTTCTACAGAAGCAATTTTGTGGCTTGTATCTTGTCCTTGCATATGTATGTCTGAAAGTCATGGCTTGTGTAACTATCTTGTGTACATGCAGTTTTTAAAGGTCAGCTTCTCATATTTAGCCTATATCGATGACTTATACATCCAGATCCAGTTTTTTATGACATTATTATGGAGGAGTGCTGCAACAGCAATGCATCATTCTTTAACTATAGAATGTATACCATAATGAGGGGAACGGGGAGGTTCTTTTATAATTTAGATCTCGCACTGTTGACCATGATAAGAACTGTATGATCACATGATTTTTCATACATGTATTAGAATTGTACATTGTGCTTTCCGGAGAAATGCTGTGCTCTGGAAGTGGATCCTTTTGCCATTTCTTCTCTCTCCTTCTAAATTCATGATGTACTTTGTATCCTGCTATGCTGAATAACTATATCTTCTGAAACTGCCAACCTCAAGTTTCTATTTTAGAGTATTGTGATTGATGTTAATAGGTGTGTAGTTGAGCATGCTCTTGAGTCACTCTAGGAAGTGAGGTATGCATGCAGGGACACATTTTAAGATACAACTGAATGACAGTAGCTGGAAAATTGCTTAGACCCCCTCAAACATTGTACACATTTTTAAGCAGAGGCCCTAGAGAACAAAATGGTGGTTGTTGCAAATTTTTATGTCACACAGTATTTGCGCAGCTGTTTTTCAAACGGAATTTTTTTTAGGGTTAAAAAATGTACAAAAACACAATATAATACCCAATTGTTTGGTAACATAATTAGAGATGAGCGAATTATTCAAAAATTCTAATTCGACTGATTCGGCGAATTCGTGAAAAAATTTTGATTCGAGTCGAATATATTCGCTGCGAATTTAACTTATAAAATGGTGTTTCTAGGCTTCAGAGAGCCTTTATATTAGTGCAGAACACTGTACCTTTTATTTAAATGCCCTTGGAGTCTGCTGGGGAAGAGAAATAATACTGTCAGTCAGTATGACATGCAGATGAGTGCCGTCGATCTTAGAATCACCGCACACTTCACTCATTTGGGCAGTCACGGGGCCAAAACCAGAGTGTGGAGCCACAGTGTGGCGGTGGAGGCAGCAGCAATGGGAGGCCATACAGCACCCTATGACAAAATGGAACCCACTAGCAGTGTGAGGAGACCTGAAAGTGGCACATGGCAGAGTGTGGCGATGGAGACAGCAGCAATGGGAGGCCGTACAGGGACCCATGACACACTCTGGACCTGGCAGCAGCATGAGGAGGCGGGTACAGGGGCCCATGACAGATTACGGGCCTGCAGCAGCATGAGGAGTCGGTACGGGGGCCCATGACACACTCTGGACCTGGCAGCAGCATGAGGAGGCGGTACAGGGGCGCATGACAGATTACGAGCCTGGCAGGAGCAACTTGGACAGGAGGACGTTCAGCTTCTGCACCGTCGGGTGCGTGCTCGCAAACTGTTGTCTCTTGGAAACGGATTCCAAGAAAGACTGCTGACGGAATCCGTGAAGAGGAGTAGCAGGAGAAGGAGCATCTGAACGAGCGGAATATGCCAACAAGCGACAACAGGGGCCCATGACAGATTAAGGGCCTGGCAGCAGCATGAGGAGTCGGTACGGGGGCCCATGGCAGATTACGGGCCTGGCAGCAGCAATGGGAGGCCCGTAATCTGCCAGCACCCTATGACAAAAAATGGAACCACCAGCAGTGTGAGGAACCTGAAAGTGGCACATGGCAGAGTGTGGCGATGGAGAAAGCAGCAATGGGAGGCCGTACAGGGACCCATGAGGACACTGTGGACCTGGCAGCAGCATGAGGAGGCGGTACAGGGGCCCATGGCAGATTAGGGGCCTGGCAGCAGCTATGGGAGGCCCGTAATCTGCCAGCACCCTATGACAAAAAATGGAACACACCAGCAGTGTGAGGAGACCTGAAAGTGGCACATGGCATGGCATGAGACACTGTGGACTGGCAGCAGCATGAGGAGGCGCGGTACAGGGGCCCATGGCAGATTTAGGGGCCTGGCAGCAGCAATGGGAGGCCCGTAATTTGCCAGCACCCTATGACAAAAAATGGAACACACCAGCAGTGTTGTGAGGAGACCTGAAAGTGGCACATGGCAGAGTGTGGCGATGGAGACAGCAGCAATGGGAGGCCGTTACAGGGACCCATTGAGACACTGTGGGACCTGGCAGCAGCATGAGGAGGCGGTACAGGGGCCCATGGCAGATTAGGGGCTGGCAGCAGCTATGGGAGGCCGTAATCTGCCAGCACCCTATGACAAAAAATGGAAACACACCAGCAGTGTGAGGAGACCTGAAAGTGGCACATGGCAGAGACTGCTGTGGCGATGGAGACAGCAGCAATGGGAGGCCGTACAGGGACCCATGAGGACACTGTGGACCTGGCAGCAGCATGAGGAGGTGGTACACTGGGGCCCATGGCAGATTAGGGGCCTGGCAGCAGCTATGGGAGGCCCGTAATCTGCCAGCACCCTATGACAAAAAATGGAACACACCAGCAGTGTGAGGAGACCTAAAGTGGCACATGGCAGAGACACTGTGGACCTGGGCAGCAGCAATGGGAGGCGGTACAGGGCCCATGGCAGATTAGGGACCTGGCAGCAGCATGGGAGGCCCGTAATCTGCCAGCAGATTATGACAAAAAATGGAACACACCAGCAGTGTGAGGAGACCTGAAAGTGGCACATGGCAGAGTGGCAGAGTGTGGCGATGGAGGACAGCAGCAATGGGAGGCCGTACACTGGGACCCATGAGAGACTCTGGGACCTGGCAGCAGCATGAGGAGGCGGTACAGGGGCCCATGGCAGATTAGGGGCCTGGCAGCAGCTATGGGAGGCCCGTAATCTGCCAGCACCCTATGACAATAAATGGAACACACCAGCAGTGTGAGGAGACCTGAAAGTGGCACATGGCAGTGTGTGATGGAGACAGCAGCAATGGGAGGCCGTACAGGGACCATGAGACACTCTGGACCTGGCAGCAGCATGAGGAGGGCGGTACAGGGGCCCATGGCAGATTAGGGGCCTGGCAGCAGCTATGGGAGGCCCGTAATCTGCCAGCACCCTATGACAAAAAAAATGGAACACACCAGCAGTGTGAGGAGACCTGAAAGTGGGCACATGGCATGAGACACTGTGGACCTGGCAGGCAGCATGAGGAGGCGGTACAGGGGCCCATGGCGATTAGGGGCCTGGCAGCAGACAAAAAAATGGAACACACCAGCAGTGTGTGAGGAGACCTGAAAGTGGGCCACATGGCAGGAGTGTGGCGATGGAGACAGCAGCAATGGGAGGCCGTACAGTGGGACCCATGAGACACTCTGGACCTGGCAGCAGCGATGAGGAGGCGGTACAGGGGCCCATGGCAGATTACGGGCTGGCAGCAGCAATGGGAGGCCCGTAATCTGCCAGCTCCTATGACAAAAAATGGAACACACACAGCAGTGTGTGAAGGAGACTGAAATTGGCACATGGCAATGGCCCGGGTTAGGGGCCTTTGGGAGGAAACTATGGGAGGCCTTTTAATCTGCCAGCCCTATGCAAAAAAAAGGGAAAAACACCAGGTGTGGGAGACCCGAAAGTGGGGCCCCAATTTTGGGAAAGGGGACACGTGGGGCCCTGGGCCGGCCCGGATTTGGAGGGGAAGTGGGGGGTTAAAGGGGCCCCGGGGGATTAGGGGCCTGGCAGCATGGGGATTGGGGGGCCGTAATCTGCCAGGGACCCTATGCAAAAAATTGGGCAACCAGCGTGTGTGAGGGGGGCCCGAAATTTCATGGCAGAGGGGGGTGGCGGGGGAGGGAAAACAGCAAAGGGAGGCCGTTTTCAGGGGGGCCCCTTTACAAATTGGGCTTTGGGGAGCAGCATGAGGGGGGCCCCGGGAAGGGGGCCCATGGTAGATTTTGGGGGCCCGGCAAACAGCTATGGGAGGCCGTAATCTGCCAGCAACCCCATGCAAAAAAAATTTAAAAAACCGGAGGGGGGGGGGAGGGCCTGGAAAAATGGAACATGGGGATGGACACTGTGGGCCTGGCTGCGCTTGGGGAGGCGGTACAAAGGGGGCCCCTGGGAGATTAGGGGCCTTTGGAGCGCAATTGGGGGGCCCCTTTTCTGCCAGCACCTTTGAAAAAATTTTAAAAAACACCTGCAGTTTTTGTGAGGAGCCTGAAAAAGGGGCCCTGGCCCGAGGGGGCGATGGAGGGGCGCCGGGAATGGGAGGGTACAGGGGGGCCCCTGAGAACTTGGACCTTTGGGAGCAGCATTGGGGGGGGCGGTTTTAAAGGGGGCCCCTGGCAGATTAGGGGCCTTTGGGAGCGTATGGGGAGGCCCGTAATTTTCCAAACACCCTATGACAAAAAAAAGGGAAAACCAGGAGTGTGAGGAGGGCCTGAAAGGGCCATTTGGGAGAACACTGTTTGGGCCTGGCAGCAGCATGAGGAGGCGGGGACAGGGGCCCAT